CCCCCCAGGACGGCGCCCACCAGCCGCGTCCCACAAGCTCCAACTCACCCCCCCACGCTCCTTCTCTTACTCTGCCTTTTGCAGGCTAACGTTTCCTCTCAGTAACAAGAGAGACCCCAAACAACAAGCTCCCCCCAAAAATGGTATTGAGCTCTGGCTTCGAAACCAAATTCCCGGGTTTTGCCAGGACAGAGCTGTGACCTGCCCCGGAGCAGCATCCCCGCAGCCCACCTCTGCCCGGTAGAACCCTCACCACCGAAAAACTGCGAGAACTGAGCTGCACTACCAGCACCGGGCAAGTCTGCGTCTTGTGGGCATACAGAGGATTTGCTTTCTAAAGCACATTTACAGTGCAAGTCCGCACGTTTGCCTAAAATTACAATTTTTGACAGCAAAAGAGGGCTGCCACCGGTGTACATCAACTCCAGCTGCGCTGGGAGGCAGTTAAAAATTCTGAATTGCAGCCCAGCTCGACAATGATCCATCTCTTTCCTCAAAACTGTTTGATAACATGGCAAGCGCCACGCATAAAATCAAACCCAGCTCTGCGCTTTGATATCCGTGAATACAGAGGGAAGAAAAAAATCCCAGCAATTAGCGTTTCTGAACTCAAAATGTCTCCTACTCAAGAGGTGTCTCTTCCTGCAATTATTTCAGTGTTCTGGGGGACACTTTTCCACTCTTGAGATAAAATAACAAGTTTTGCAGACTTGTTGCTGCAGTAACCGAAGGGCGATGGCTCCGGCACAATGGGAGCAGTGTTCTAACTAGGCCATGCCCCGCGACGCCGCGCCGTGCCATGGCATCCTATCGCAGCCACGGGGCTGGAAGCATCCCCACCCTCATCGCTCCCTCCTTCCCAAAAAAGATGGAAACCAGGAGGATGCCCCTTCCTCGCGGAGCTGCGCCGCGGCACAGCGGCGCTTCCTTCAGCGATTAAGGACCAAACAGCGGCAGAACAACTCACGTGATGTTTTAAAAACTAACTTCTCCTGCCAGCACGGCCCGATTATCCGCGCAAAGCGGCAGGGCTTTGTCGCGCTGACGTGCAGTCCCACTGGCATACAGAATTTTCACCAACTGAAATACTTCCCCGTTTAATAGTGCTCCCAAGCATCCAGGCACCCTCTCCTTGGAGACGGGAGTCATCTTCTGCTCACACAGAGGATGCATCTCAAAGACCTGCTATCTTTCTGGTGCTTTCAAGGAGTGATAAGCAGAGTATATCCGATTAAATATTAGTATTTTTTCCAGCTTAAACAAATCAAAAGCAGATGAGCACTAGGTATGGGGAAACCAACACCCTGGTAGGGCCCACTCTGCTGCCCTTCCCAGGCTTTCTGGCGCTGGCGGTGCTCACCGAGGCAGGCTACGGCACAAGGGCCACTGCAAAATAAACGCAAATCTCCAGGGGAGAGGAAGCAGCGGGAATGGAGGACACCGCCGTCAGCTCTCCCCCGGAGTCCCCTGTGCGTTACACACAGGCTGAACTAAAAGGTAAGATTGTATATACCACATAGGAGCTATCGTTCTGATGATGAATCCCAGAAAGCAGACTGGGACATCCTATCCTGTCCTGTCCTGTCCTGTCCTGTCCTATCCTATCCTATCCTATCCTATCCTATCCCATCCTACCCTATCCCATCATATCCCCTCCCCTCCCCTTCCCTCCTTTCCTCTCCAATCCTACCCTATCCCATTCCATCCTACCCCATCCTACCCCATCCCATCCCATCCCATCCCATCCCATTCCATCCCATCCCATCCCGCCCTACCCTATATTCTTCAATAGCGGCAATGAAAGACGGGTGCTTGATGCTATTAGGGGTAAAACAGAATTTGGCAAGAGCTTTTTGGGCTAAATGCATATCCCCGAACCATCAGGCGACAGGACAGGTGAGGAGGAGGCCGTGCCTGTGCACGGGGCTCCTGCTAATTGCAGGCAGCTCGTCAGGGTGAGCGCTCCGCAGCGGCGGGCTCTCCAGGGAGCCACCGTTTCGGCTGCCCGGCAGGAGCAGGAAAACCATGACAAGCCCTCACAAGCACAGCGCTCCACCCGACTTGTGTAAAACTGCATTTTGAATGTTTCATTTTTACTTTTAACTAATGACTCAGGTCAAAAGCACCCGCGATATTCATCACCACCTAAAAACCAGCAGATGCGAAGCTGCTGAGGGGAAGCTGGGCAGACTGGTACGGATTCTCAGGAACTTTCTTAGAAGCCTCCAGTTACGTTTCTATGCGACATAAAGGCTGCAGGTCTCCAGGGCAAGTACTTGCCATCAATACCCCAAACAAGACAGAGTTCAGAGCCGGAGAAGGTCCTCGCAGCTTGTGACCCGATATTGCTGGAAGGGGAGCAGAAGAGAAGTCAGCCTGGAAGGGCCACCAGCCATGCCCTCCTCCTGCCCACTTCCTCCTCACGACTGCTGTCACTGAAGAAATCAAACACCTACAGCATCCAAGGGGCAAACAGCTCCAGCGGCCAAGGACAAACCTACCTGCTCTACCACTTTCTACAGGCAAACATTCAATAATAAATAATTTTGGGACCAAAGAGATCCTAAGGTAGCAATAACGAGGCAGGCAAGAGAACCAGCAGCACAAGCGCTGTGTTCTACGCTACCTTCCGGGAGAAATTTTGAAGGATTTGGTGTCAAACCTGTTTCCGGAAAGAAAAGCAGCTTTTCAGGAAGACAATCCTGCCTTGAAGAAATTCTTTGCTTTCGAAGGCATTTCATTTCCTATACATGGAGCTATCGAGAATTTAACATTTCTTCCTGTGAAATGAAACGCTCCATAAAACAAACTAAAATTCGGGCTAAAAAGCCCAAGTGTAACTCAATCCACTATTCTATTTTGGTTACATCTGTCCTGCTGGCTCGCTGTCTATAAATCTCTTATTAAACACGGGCATGAATCATTTTTTGGACTTTGTCTCCATTAAAGCGTTAGCACAAATTCAACGATACTAAACAAAAGCGAGTGAAGATTTGGGCCTTTCAGTGCCACCTCAATTCAGCAGATAGCAATCGGTTATGTAAAGAAGCAGGATACAAGAGACACTTTGGTCCCGTGTTTTCAAAGAAAGCCAGTCTGTTTGGCCTTTATGCTCTGAAGAACAGGATAGTATTCCCTTCTAATTAATTTGTATCTTCAGAGGGCAGCGGCTCCTTCCCTTTGAATGAAAGGGCAAACAATGGGAAGTATTGTTTAATACAGTTTTGTTCTCACCAAGAACGGAGCCTACCAGCTCGCGGAGAGGGGCAGGAAATCATTACGGAGGAAGCAACGAGAGCTGCCAGCCAAACGCTGGTATATTTTATTTATCCAGATATACGCTTTCATCTCAAACTTCTATGGATGCTGCAGCTGGCAACAAACGGTCCAGAATGGGAAACATCCCGGGTTTTCGGGCTGAAGAAGCAACTTCAAACCAACTCACAGAATCGCACAGAATCACAGAATGGTCAGGGTTGGAAGGGACCTCTGGAGATCAAACTCACCGGTCCATGTTCGGAGGAAAGCCGGAGTTGCGGGAATTACCAGTACTTCACGGCCCCAGGCTTTGCATGACGCTGGGGGCACGTGTCCCAAAACGTACCATCTGGCTCAGAGGTCCGTTACACCACCTTCTTGCTGAGCCCATGAGGGTTTCGGTGATGCCAGGACAGCTGCACATCCTGCCCGAGGTACCTGGGACCAGAGATGCTGAGCCCACACTGACCCTCACCGGTGATGGGCAACAAGTTGCTCAGGCAAGTGCCCGGGGTCTGGCAGCGCTGGCAACTGCTGGCCATATACCTGGTGTCACTACTCACTTATTTCCTTAGTTCCTGATAATCCAAACACCCGGGCTTCAAAATTATTCATGAACCCCCAATTCCCAACAGTCTGGGTTCTCCACTTGGCTTGTTTACTGCATATAAACTTCAACACGCTCCCGTGGGTAAGAAACAACTATTTCTGTTTTAGGAATGGGATTTTGAGATACAGAAAGATCAGAGTGATGGACCCTCACCCAAACGTTAATGTTTGTAGAGCCCCAACACGGAACCACAAGTCACGAGCCCACGTCCACCGCAGCCTCTACAAAACTGCCTCCACCTGCTCCGCCACCAGTCCCCGTGTACGCGAACACACGGGTAGTTCTCCCCTGTTCTCTACATGGCAAGAATTTTCTTTTCAAACAGCAATGTTTTACCAACATTTTTATCCCATTAGCCTATTTTCCACTGGCAGTGGGACTACCCCAAAAATAGCATCCCTGCCGCAGCCCCGGCATCTGCCTGCCTATGTAAACCTGGTCCACAGAGGACACACGCACGCACGGCGGGACAGATACATGATATAGTCCCAACCGGGATAGTTTATGTTTCACAAATAGTACATTTATAACAACGCACTGGAATGTAGAGATTTGATTTGTGACCTATTTATACAGGGAGGTAATCTGGAATTAGTATAGGAAAAATATTACTGGTTTATAAATACCCCTATCTCGCTTTCGCTTCAGATCTCAGCCAGGAGTGAAACATCTGCCAGCCTAAAATTAAACATCTGTGTTTTACAGTGAGGAAACCGGGGCTGGAAGTTTAATGCCAAAAAAGGCCAGAGGCTGCGCACCCCCGGCGTGGGGCTCTGTCCTCCTCCGGCTGCTCAGCACCGCCGGTCCCCGTGCCGGGCTGGGCGATGCCGGCACTGGCCGGCCCCCTCGGCCAACCGCCGCGCT